ACTTATGTTTTGCTTAAATTAGACTGAAGAAATCTCACAAATAAAACATTGACTCAAACTCCGTAATCTGTTAAAGCAAACATAATTCGGAAGATGTTGGTATCAGATACGTTATTATTGGACACTCGGGCCAAACTTACCTTTCGATTTGCTACTGTTATCAAAGTCGCAGTTATCTTACAATTGGTCAAACTGCTTGTAATATAACTGTATTTATGTTTCTACCACGTCAAATGTATACTTTTAATTGTATGTTAATTTTCATTTCCAATGGAACCACACACATACAAACGTGCAATACTTAGTTTCTATAATTCCCATAACGTTTTTATCGAAAATTTTTATTTTAGAATATTATGGCAAAAATTACGAGTAAATATTATGTAATTCATTTCGCTTAGTACAGTTTATTTCTGTCAATAGTACAGTTCCAGAAGATTAATTTCATAGGTATAAACTATAATTATAAATATTACATTTAAATGAGGATAGTGTTTACTGGTTGATAGAGTCATAAAAATGACAGTTTTGACCAAATATCTGAGTAATACGCTAGCTTTTATTGTTTATAATATTAATTAGTTTCGGTCATTTCCAACATTCCTAAAACGTGCAGTATATATGCGCAGGTCGGAAGATAATACGTCATACAATGTTTGCAAATTTTGCAACTTATCTCATACTATAGACCAAGATACAGTTGAATTCAAGGACAACGTTGTCAAGGACGAATTTGCGAGCTCCTGTCATTTACGGGAATCTCAACACGCATTTACCGCAGTTTCGACATCAACGGAAAGCTCCTATGTCACTGAGCCGTTAGCACAGGATATTCACATTGAGAGACGCGAAATAAAGTCTGAAGTTAAGACTGAAATTAAAACTGAAGAGTAATTATACTTATATATTGCTAAAATTATACGATACAAAGAAACCTTACAAATTAAACATTGATTACAACACCTTATTCTGTCAAAGTAATTTGTATAAAGAATTTAAAGGACTCAGAGCCGTGACAGGATGGTAGTGTCTAAATATTCTATTCTAAATTTATTGCGAAAAAATATCACCTCGGCCAGGGTTTGAACCTGGATCTTCCTCTCGCTAGGCGGGCGTCTCAACCAATTCGACGGTTCAAACCCTGGCCGAGGTGATATTTTTTCGCAATAAATTTAGAATAGAATATTTAGACACTACCATCCTGTCACGGCTCTGAGTCCTTTAAATTCTTTGAAATTTGTGTTTAACACATACGAGCCTTACTAATTTATTTAATTTGTATAACTCGGGATACGTTAACAATAGATATGTCGTCAGTACTGAACATTCATGGTCAAACTGTCCTTCCAATTTATTATATATCAACGTCAGTTATCCGACAGTTGAGTTAATTTAGTTTTTTGTAATTACACATAGAATTTTTTTTACCATTAAATTATATTTGTATTTCAATCTTCAACTTCACAAAGGTATGAACACACCCTACCCATGCCATGTCTAAGGTGTGGGGTGAATCTCGCGATACGGGCTTCAACTTACACTCCATCCCTAATACAATATTTTTATTTCTACAAAGACTTTGTAAAGTGACTTAAGCACCTTATTAACTTTGCATACGTACGTTCTTTTAGTTTGCCACAAAAAATCGCGATTCTTGCTAGGGCGTTAATTCTGCACATTTACCTTAAACTCTGACATTTTCCACATTTTTAAGTCATTGTTTATATTTACAGATTTATATATACAGATTCTGATTAATTTAGTATCCATTCATACATAACTTCAACTGAACAGACAGCTTCGGTATGGATTCCGATATGATTTTAAAAGCGATATATAATTAAGGAGTATTGTAGTTTTTGGTTCGAAGACTGTTGAAAGGAAGAATGAATTTCGATAAGTGACTATACAAAGATATTAGGAATTAAATATTCTTTCCAAAAATGTGAAAAAATTTATAAGAATGGGTTTGCGATTATAGTGTTATGAAGACATGCTAAATTGGACGCAACGAAATATTTTCAAAAATTGATAAGCGTATAGTAAGTCAACATCAACAGTGCATAAACAGCATCTATAACTTTTCACATTTTAACAGAGGTAACAGCAGTGGTTTAGGTAACACATGTGATTAATTTTTCTTACATATGTTTACATAAATTGCATATTAAAAGCTTTTATTTTAATCAACGTGACTGTAATAGTATGTAAAGTGTAATAGTGTACCTAACTATAATTTTGGTAATAATTACCCATACAGCACAAAAACCTTTCAGAAATATTTCTGAAATATTTCATGTGATAGATTGAAACGTTTCATAAATATTGCAAAATGTTTCTGCAATAGCTCTGAGACAGCTCTGGAACAGTAAAATGTCCGCGATTCTTACACTTGAAAGCTTATAGAAAGGTTTCTGTAAGGTTACAAAAATCTCTTAGAAATATTTCAAATATTTCAGAAATATCGCAAAATGTTTCTGCAATAGCTCTGAGACAGCTATGAAACACTAAAATGTCCGTGATTCTTACACTTGAAACTTTATAGAAAGGTTTCTGAAAAATTACTAAAAGCCGGTTTTTCCAAGTGTCAGGTAGCTTACCTCTAA